TCCCCAAATCAACACAGACTGTGGAAACTTCACACTGGACTTCAAGTATCTTGCAGTGTGTGCCTCTCCATTCTTCCTCCAGACCCTGGGTCCTTGGTTTCCAAATGAGATGCAAAAGTTGCTCTCATCAGAAAAGAGGACTTTGGACCACTGAGCGACAGACCGGTTCTGTTTTTCTTTAGCCCAGGTAAGACGCTTCTGACGTTTGTTGTTCAGGAGCAGCTTGACAAGAGGAATACAACATTTGAAGCCCATGCCCAGGATCCGTCTGTGTGTGGTGGGCTCTTGATGCACTGACTCCAGCCTCAGTCCACTCCTTGTGAAAGTTCCCCACACTTTTGAATGGCCTTTTCCTGACAATCCTCTCCAGGCTGCGGTCATCCCTGCTGCTTGTGCACCTTTTTCTTCCACACTTTTCCCTTCCACATAACTTCCTATTAATGTGCCTTGATACAGCACTTTGGGAACATCCAACTTCGTTTCCAATTACCTTTTGAGGCTTTCCCTCCTTATGGAGGGTGTCAATGATGGTTTTCTGCACAACTGTCAAGTCAGCAGTCTTTCCCATGATTGTGCTTCCTACTGAACCAGACTGAGAGACCATTTAAAGGCTCAGGAACCCTTTGCAGGTGTTACAGCTTAATTAGCTGATTGAGCCTAGACACTTTGAGCCTAGAATATTGAACCTTTTCACAATATTCTAATTTTCTGAGATTGTGGATTTGGGGTTTTCATGAGCTGTAAGCCATAATCATCTCAATTATGACACATCACAGCTTGAACTATCTTGCTTTGCATGTAATGAGTCTATAATATTAGGTTCATCTTTTAAGTTGCATTACTGAAATAAATGAACTTTTGCACGATATTCTAATTTTTCGAGTTTCACCTGTATATTCTATTTGCTGATTAATTCAGCATCATTTCTAGTATAACAAACAAATCTCTCTTTAGAATGGCTGCCTTGCTATAGGTTATTTTAAATAGACTCAATTGCTAAGTTTAATGCAACAGGCTGTCTAACATGGGAAATGGAACTTACATGGTCTTCTCAGTAGCAGCCATTTTCTTAGTGCACAATTCCACAGTCCCATTTCCCTGTTATGTAGTTGCAACATAGCATCAATAAACGTGATCAGAAGGAACTGGGTGGGGATCTCCTATCTATTGGATAGCATGGAATTAGCATACTGGCTAGGGAATTCTGGAAACTGAAGTCCACACATCTTAATGGTCCCAACTTTAAAAAGTTGGCATACAGGAAAATGGCTCCCACTTTGTTAGGTGCATGCATGTTATATTTCTACAGGGGTCTGGCTGGAACAATTTAGGCCTTGCTAATTCAGATTCTATTTAACAATTTCAATATTTAGAGAGGAAGAAGAATGTGGCAATTCTTAACCAGTTTCAATTAAGTCTGAAAGATAGCATGTACAGGTAGTCCTTGATTTATTATTGCAATTGGAACCAGAATTTCCATTTCTAGCCAAGGTAGTTATTAAGTGAGTTGCAACTAAATTTACCTTTTTTTGCCATGGTTGTTAAGACAATCCCTGCAGTTGTTAAGTGCATCATGCAATCGTTAAACAAATTGGCTTCCCCACGTTAAGTGTGCCAATCAGAAGCCGGCTGGGAAGGTCACAAATGGCAATCAAATAACCCTGGGATACTCCAACCATTGTAAATCCACGCCAGTTTGCAAAGGCACAAATTCTAATCTATAGGGATGCTGCAAGTCGTAGGTGAGCGGATTGGGTCGTAAGTCATTTTTTTCAGTGCTGTTGTAGCCTTTGTCACTAAATGAATGATTGTAAATCAAGGGCTACCCGTACCTATCAAGAGTTCAGGTGGGGCGAGAGACTGGAGTTTCTTGACTTAAAAGTGCCTGGCACGGTATGCCAGTCCCAGTCCATTTAATCCTGATGATTCTAACATCACTTTCCTTAAGATCGCTTTCTATTCCTCATTCAGAGTACCGGTGACCCGGTGTTGTGAATATATTCTGACTACCCACAATCACAGGAAGAGATAACAAGCTATCAGGGATTAAATCTGGAACTTTCTGCACAAAGAGCTTATCTGCCTTGAGATGTACCCATTGTCTATATCTGTTTAACAGATAAACAGTTGGAAGGGACCTTACAGATCATCTAGTCCCATGATGGCGAACCTACGGCACGCCTGCTGGAAGTGGAACACAGAGCCATCTCTGCTGGCACGCGAGCCGTCGCCCCAGCTCAGTTCCACTGTGCATGTGCACCCGCCTCCCACCAGCCAGCTGATTGTCGGGTGTCTGTTGCACAAGAGTGGGGAGCGCGGTGCATGCGGGAGACGTGCGTGCATGTGCAGGTGTGCAGGGCGCATGCAGGGCAATGTGGGGGTGCGCACAGGAGGGGTCACACATGCATGCGCAGGGGGTGTAGGGATCATGGGGTGGTCATGAAGCAGCTTGGAAGGTCAAAAACAAAATATGCATTTACCAGAAATCCTCTGACCCCTTACCTTCCTTCTTATAAAAAAATATTGTGCAAAACCACGAAATTGCTGAACTAAGGAACTGGAAGTAAGCATGTTTCAGTGAATAAGGATGGGTCTGGAAAATAACAGAAATGTACTTCTCCTTTTTGGTATAGTTTAACATAAGAAACGCCCCGGGCTAGGCTGAGGTTATGAAATGTATAAAAGTGACGCCTCAGGAAGAGCCAGGGGTTCAGAATTTGCCATGCTAATGCTCTGAACCTTTGTGCACAAATAAAAACCTGTATTCTCCAACCTTTCGTGGTCTTGTGTCCTGATTTGGAAACAGGATCTGCTGCAACAGTCACATGCATTGCATTATGGGTGCAGGCACTCGTGCGCATGCACATTTTCAGAACGCAACAACAAAAAGGTTAGGCATCACTGATCTAATCCAACTCCCCACCCAAGCGGGAGACCCTACAACATTTCTGACAGATGTCCAGTCTGTTCTTGAAAGCTTCCAGTGATGTGGCTCCCACAATTTCCGAAGGCAACTGTTTCATTAGTTGATTGCTCTCACTGTCAGAAAATTTCTCCTTACTTCCAGGTTGAATCTCTCCTTGTTCAGTTTCCATCCATCATTCCTTGTCTGGCCTCCAGGTGCTTTGGAAAATAACTTGACCCCTTCCTCTCTGTGGCAGCTCCTCAAATATTGCAACACTTCTCTCATGTCTTCCCTGGCCCCTTCTCTTCACCACACTAGCCATGCCCTGTTCCTGTAACCGTTCTTGATGTTTTCATTTATATATCCTATATAAATGTTTTAAATTAAAACATATACGCCCGCCATAAAACTGATAATAATGCTGCAAGAAGCTACTGGTTCACTTTTTTTTATTTTTATATAGACCTTTTTGCCACTGAAGTCAAAAGACATCAGAACTTTTTATACTGACATAGCTCTTTTCTATGTACAATGTATAGAGAGACCTTAGATTAATGTTTCACAACCACGGAGACTTGAAAATGTGTGGACTTCAAATCCCAAAATTCTGGGAATTAAAGCCCGCACATCTTCAAGTGGCCAAGGCTAAGATGCAGCGCCTTAGATAACTTATTATATACACACATTTACCATTTGAAAGGAAGACCAGCTTGTGTGGAAAACCCTGGAACAAATTCTTCCCTGGAAGTCTCTTGAAGTGCTACCCAAAAGTTACTTTGCAAGGAAGGTATGCTCTGAACACCTGCACAATTCTGCTAATGTCATATTCAGTCTCTGAAAGGTTTTTATCACCCATTCAGATTTGAGCATTTTGGGAGATAAAAATGCTCCTTCGAGTTGAGCTTGTCTTTTGTTGACTTCCTGGACATGTCTAAGATACCAATAATGATTTCTACCTAAATATTACAAAGATCTGACCCTATCTAGTCTCTGAACCCTGATAAAATGAAGCAAATATTGAGAGAGGGAAGGAGATTGCAATTTGGGGAGATTTATGTTTCCTTCTGATTGATAAGGAGGTGGATCACTTCTAGCCATTTTAGATTTATGCAAAACTGTGTGCATATATATGCAATTGTCTTTCACTAGACAAATTTAGAGGCATTAATAATTACAGAGCAGGAAGTGCTAGAACAATGTACAAATGAAGTTAAAATAATCCATCTGAGTTTTCTTCCTCACAAAAAAAGTCATCCCTGTATTATCATATCCTCGTTCCCATGTAAAATGCCAAAATGTGAGACATTTTTCATGGCAGATACCCAAGTTGTTACATATCCATTAAAAAATAAGATCTGTAAGAAAGACAACTTTGCTTCCAAAAAACGTACTGTCCTTTCAGTTTGTAAATGTGGGAAGTGACTATTTTCTATCTACATAAATGAAATAGATTTCTGAATTGCTTGCTTAGATGAACAATGTTTCTCAATCTCAGCAAAAATGTGGACTTCAGCTCCCATATAAAACTTAAGTTACTGTTTTGTTAAACACCCAGTTAGCAATTGTATTGAAAAGTCAATATAATCAAACAATCTTAGATGGGAATGAATTACCTTTGTTCTGGACAGAAGAATAGAGTTAGGAAATGCTGCTAAGCCATTCCTTTCATAAACATAAACCCACGTGTTGGTTATAGATTTGACTATGCTTGTGTGATGTTTATGCAGAAACTCTTCTGGACCTCTTCCATTTAGGCTGACATCTTACTCCAGAATTTGTTCCTAATAGAGTTCTAAGACAGTTTTCTTTAAACATTGTTCTCCCTCTCAGTATGCTGGAATGACAACTGATCAAGGATACACTGACTACAAAAGTTGGGAGTTACCATTCCCACATATCTAAAGGGAATTTGATTCATTCTTCCCCCATTTTTATTACATCTTCTTATAATTATTATGGATGTATTGTCCACCTATTTGATACCTCTACTAGACTAGTGTTTCTCAACTTTGGCAGGTTTAAGACGTGTGTACTTCAACTCCCAGACTCCCCAGCCAGGCATACTGGATGGGGAATTCTGGGAATTGAAGTCAACGTATCTTAAACCTGCCAAAGTTAAGAAACACAGTGCCACTCTTAGACCTCGATATTCGCTCAATTCTGGATACACCTTCCTATTTATATTATTAAAAAGGCTTTACTTAGGAATCCTGTTACAAAATACTACAAATCACATAATCAAAACGACAGGACTGCTTGCTGACACCAAATTATGACTCTATTACTTGTTCACTATATAGTTTTAAACATTTTTGAAGTCGTACTTCTAGCCTGACTGAAAGTGTTAACTTTCAAGATGTTCTCTTTTTCACTTTTTTAAGGTGCAGTGTGTTGAAAAAACTTCCCTGATACATACTTTTGAATCTTAACAAGGGGTATGAAGAAGGCTTGATTGGCATATTTGTTCTTCGAACCCCTATCCAATTATATCACCCTGTTGGAGTTAACCTGAGCCAATATTCAAAAATTCCTATCTTCCCCACAAGAGTGGAATACCTTGGCCAAGTTGCAACCTGCTTAGTGAATGTATGTATGAAATAACATTCCCTTGTAGATTTGACATCTTATTCCTATTGGTGATAGTTGTGCCATCCTCAGCTTCTTGGCTATTGCTGTTTAGTTTAGGTGCATTCCTCAAAATCCTGAATCTTTGGATGAATCATTGTTTTAATTCACATCGCCTTAGGGCTTAACATTCCAGAAAGGAAAGTGTATTGGGCTTATTCAAGTTAAAGCAAACCCAAGGAAGGATTTCTGAAACTCTTGAAGCAGAAGGGGAAGGAAAAGAGAAAGATATTTCTCCTTACTATGCAAAGATTAATGTAGCAAGACCTTGGAATCTGTGATAGTACAATAATCTTTACTGCCTGTACGTTTGTGTTTAACCATTTCTCATCTCAGACTGTAAGCAAGATACAGATTCTTAGCAATGTTTGATAGGATGATAACAAACAACATTGTCTTATCACACTGAAAAGTTCAAGCAACTCATTTCTTTTCCATGATCTACTGTACTCATATTGCGAGATCTTAGAAAAAGACTACCATTAAACAGAATTTCTTATTAAGATCCACCACATTGAACAGTCCTGTTAAACATCCTAACATGATGGAACTTTTTCATTCTAAGTTAAGGTGGCCCATAGCCCATTTCAATGATAGTCTTTATCTCAAATTCCACAAGGGGACCAGCCCACGGGTCTCCTTTTCATAGACATCTGGAACCAACCCAATGGGTGAAGGCACCATCTTGACGGTGTTCTTGCCAAACAGCTTGCGTTCATATTCAATGAGCTGTCTCCAGAAACCTACATTGGGCCTTACAACCGGTCGCCTGCTCTTCACCCACTCATGAGCATCCAAAAGGCTCAACCGATGATATTTCATTAGGTAAGCAATACAGAGAGAGGCAGACCGGCTGACACCTGCCACGCAGTGGACTAGAGTTCTTCCATTCTTCTTCCCTGTCTGGTGTATCCTATCAGCCACGGAGTCAAAGTACAAAGACAGTGGAGCGTGAGGGAGGTCCGGAACAGGCACCTTCACATAGTCAATATCTGGCCAGTTGGCATTGGGGATTTCCATGGTAGCATTTACTACACAGGTCACTGCCCGGGAATACACCATGTGTCTATTCGATGCAGCATTGCCAGAGCAAAGATAGAGACAAGGAGAGATTTGAGCAATGCCTCCTAAGACCGACAATGTGTTCCCAGCAACAGGAGATGGCTTCGCCACTGAAGTGGGTGGAGAACGGCGAAAGAACCCATGGTTCCGGAAATTCATGGTGGATGGTTCAGCATACATAACAGCTAAGGAGTGGGGTGGGGAGGAGAGAGAGTGGGAGAAAAGAAGCAAAGTACACTTTAACAATTAAAGGTTAATATTCTGATTTCTCGTGTCTTAAACTTGACCTGCCCCACAAGTGCAAAGTTTCTTATTTTATTCTAACAAATTATTTCGCTGTAAGAGAGGAACATGGGACCTGTAGAGATACGAAATGAGGAAGAAGAGAGAGTTAGAAATAGATTTTGGAGCCAACAAAATCAATGGATGAATCAGCTGCAGCCCAAACGATGTGATGAAGCAGGACAAAACTGGCATTGGAGTAGAAGGAATGGAGGGAGAAAGAACAGGCAGGAATAAGTACACGAAGGCCTGAAATAAGATGTCATCCCAAACATCAGCAAGTTCTCTGCAAAGCTAAATAGTTTCCCATATCCTACCTCAATCATTCCTCTGGAGCTCTCCAGAAGCTGCTGACATCCAGAGGGGACCCCTGCTTCTTAGGCTAGACAGGGAGGGGAGGAAGGAACTAGAAACTATGATGCTGCAGGAATAATGCGCAGGAGGGTGGGGGATGATGGAGATGATGGGGGAGGGAGAAGACAGCCTCTTAAAGGGGCAGTGGATTCTCTACTATTCCTAGGATTCGCCCCAGCCTGGATTGTTAATGCGCATTTCTCAATCACTTCTCTCACCCCACCCTCTGTCACCACCACAGCCATGGGCTCAAAAATTAGGGTGGGGAAAGTTCTGGTGCTAAATTGTGACTCATATTCCCTCAAGATTGGTGCAAAGGGAGAGAGGCTGTTTTGGTATCATAGGTTCTCCTCACCTTTTACCAGGAGAAGAAAAGTCGAGTTTGCATTCACTGTTTCCCATAGGTTCTGCTTCCCTATCCCAGTTGTTAACTAAGGATCTAAACTAAACAAAAAACAAAAAAACAACCCCTTCCTTTCCTAAAAGGAAGATCGGGATTTCTATTGCTATCTGGTGTGTTGATGGGATACAGATGATGTCTCTGAATGTCCCAAGGTTTTTCAGGATAGAATTGCAGGTTTAAGAATATGATGATATTAGAGTTCTTTATATAAAAGAATAGGATATAGTGTAGCAAGCCTATTTGTCCTCTCATTTACCTTGAAACTTGTATATTGTATCATAATCCCACAGCCCAAATTCTGAAAAATAGTCTCCTCTTTTCAATTCAGGTATGCTTGCATTTGGAGTGAAATAAGGGTGACCTAATAAATATGCTGGTTCTAAAATGACCATTTCCAATTTTACTTATGTTGTTTTCCCTACCTGGTTTTGCCTCCTAGTTTCATCTGCAGAAACTCATTGGGTATTCTGATTTTAGCTGCCAGCTACTTTATTCTTTCATTTTCTATTTCCCTCAAAACCTCCCGGTTTCAAACTTTTCCCCCACAGATACATGTGTATGATGCTGAATCACCTAGTTTTCAAACTTTAAAAGATGCAGACTGTACGCACTTGTAGATAGATATATGCTTGATTTTAACCCCTGAATTATACATGGTTTCCCTACATATAGCTATCCCTGCAATGTTGAGCAAATGATAAACGTTGTAAGAAATAAAACAAAGTAAATGTAAGCTTGACCAACGTCAGCTTCCCATCTCCTTCAGCTTTGTGCTCTAGATGCTAGTTTGAGAACACACTCACCTCAGCAGAGCCTTGCCAAAATCCATCTCCTTTGTTTACCATAACTTTTTGAGCAGTCATTCTCACTCCATTTTGACATTTTCCCCCGTCACAATTCCCTTTCCATCCCTCTCAAAGCATACCATATCTGGCTTCAGTTCTGAACTCTTTTTAGCAGCCCTTAAATAATGCTTCATCTCCAATTCTCCTTCCTTCAGAACCCATCTACTCAAGATTTAGCTGAGTTGTGCTACTGACATGGTCTCTAACAGCAACTGAGCAAATTCTCTGCTCATATTTTGTACAGAACATGGCCACAAGTCTTGTAACGGCATGGTAGCTACTATACTTGGGCCACAATTTTAAAACAAGTTGATCTGCTCCCCACCTCAACTAATCACAATGTATTTATTAAACTTATATAATCTATCTATATGTATATATATCTATAAGCATGTGCCCCTCTCTGCATTTATGGGCAGCTCAGTCTCACACACACACCCCAATTCCTTCATTGGATGTTCTCCAGTCTCAAAGGCCATCCCACTCCCAAATATTCAATTCCTCATTTCTCCTCATATCCCCTTCTCCTCCCCAAGGCCCCACCTGAGAAATAACTATTTCTGAATTTACAAAAACTGCAATGCCAAGTCCAGTTAATCCTCAGTGCCCAGTTTTGTAAAAGAAAGATGGAAAACATTACCAGTCAGTGCTGTTTTTCAACAGAGACTTTCAGGACAGTTCCCCCAACTCTTCTTTGTCAAGAAATCTGCTCTCTCCCTTGTGGAAGAAGGCTAAGGATTTCTCCTTTTCCAGGTGGGTTTGCCTTTTCTTCCTCCCCTCCTCCTTCCAAGTAGCCCACTCTGTAAAAGCAGCGTCTGTACAATTTACATTAAACAATATAATAAATCTCTTTGCTTCGGTCCTCCTGGTTCAGTTCCTCTCCTTCCCGCAGGATTTCTCCAGCCTTCCTCTTTTCTGGGTGGGGAACTGGAGTTTCCTTCCCTGATTCCCCCCCACCCAAGCCTTGTCTATATACCGCCCTTGCTGCCCCCCTCCTCGGCTGGACCACTCGAGCGTTGGAGGCAACAAAAAGGTTGCCATGGCGACGGGATGCGGAGGCGGCTGCTGTCGTCAGCGCCCGTGACACAAGACGGAGCTCGTGGAGGAGGAGGAGGAGGAGGAGGAGGCGACCGCGCAGGCGTGACTGAAAAAGGCCCACGGATTTTCCCCCTCCCTCCTCGGCTTCCGGCCCAGATTCTCCGCCTCCTCGGCAGCAAAACAAAAAACAAAAAAAACCACGAACGAACGAAAGAAAATAGCCCAAAACCTAAAGGAGGGGGGGGGGGGGAAACCCTGCGTTTTAATCTGGAACAACAGGAAATACCCGAAAGATTAGAGGAACGGGAGGTGGGGAGGTCTCCCATCCAGCCCTCTGCAATTGGTTTTCTGCAGGTAGGGCTTTCTCCAGACTGCAGTCCTGCTGCAGCTCTCCTGCGCAAGCACCCGCTGGCAGGATGGACAACACTGAATTGATCCTTAGCTTTGCAACGCCAGCCACGTTTTAGGCCAGCACGTTGTGCGAATCCCCCAAAGTAAAGAAACCACGATTCGGGGGAGGGCATACCCCCAGGAAGCAGGTTGTCGACTGAATGTAGTTTGTGTGTGGTCTCCTTTGGGGGCGCTCACAAACACGCGCGCGCGCGCACACACACACACACACACACACGAAGCTTCTCTTTTGTTCCCCTGCCCTGGCAGCGATCACCCACCCGCCTCTCCCTTCTTGATCCCACATACCTCACACCAGGAAAGTGTAAATTAACAGTTATGAGTCAATCTAAAGGTACCGGTTGCACCCCTTGGAGCAGTGCTCTTCAGCCTTGGCAACTTGAAGATGTATGGAGTTCAACTCCCAGAATCCTTGACTGGGGAATTCTGGGAGTTGAAACCTGCAAGTTGCCAAGTTGAAAACCGCTGCCCTGGGGGAGGAGTGAACCAATCTAACACCAACACTATCTAAGAGGCCCTTCCCAACTCAATGCTTTCCGGCTAGTTGGATTTCAGCTCCCGTAATTCCCAGCTCATATGCAATGGGAGTGAAAAGACAAGAGGTCTAGAATGTAAGGCTCGAAATGGATAAATGTAGAAATCATTTCTAAATAATAATAACTAATCATTGGAAGGAAAATCACAGGGTTGTAAGCTACAATGGGAAGTAACCTTGCAAGGGAATTTTGGGAGTTGAAGTCCACATATCCTCAAGCTACCAAGACTGAAAAACGCTGCCTTAACTACTACGTATACTATAAATAATGTATGACCTAGAGCAGGCTTGGGAATTCTGGGAGTTGAAGTTCACCCATCTTAAATTGCCACAGTTGAGAAACATTTATCTACAGCAATGGTAAGAATTACCTATCTTTAAAAAGATATTGAACAGAGGAGGGGGGAATTCAATAATTCTAAGCCCTAAACTTTTATCTTGTCACAAGCCATAAATTCATATACTTTTTGCAAGAAAAATATTACAATTTAATAGAACCTCTATGTTTAGAGGCAGTTTACCAGATAGCTTTCTATTCCTTGCTGGTGGGCTTGGAAGAGGCAAATATCGTGCTGTCTTTACAGGAAACAGGAAGCTAGACCTCAGATAGTTAGTTAACTAGTTCTTGTGTGGATTTCTTATTTACAGTATGTTCTGCTTGATTTCTGTCTCTAAGCTCCACCTTCTCTGAATAAACTTTGTAATTACTATGAAAATAACCTTAAACTCCAAAAGCAGCTGCAGTTGAGCTATTCTGATTGCAGTTCTATCAATAAATAGAAATACTGTATGGTCAGTCAGAATAGTTTGGCCGCATTTTTTGTTTTCCTTTCAAAAATATTAAAATTTGTCTGGTGCGTTTTCATGAGTACAACTACAAAGTCATATATCATATTAGCAATTAAGATGGGGTTTTTTTTTTGCTTACTACTGAAAGCATGACTCAACACAGCACTTCTTTCCTCCCACTTTCTTACATGGAGAAAAATTTACTGTATTTTACAGATATAGGTCTGCTCCCCTAAAAATATTAGAGATTGCTACTGTATTTATCTGGATAAATGCCTCCTTACAAATATGTAAAATGTGTGCCATATAAAGGCTAAAGATGTTGCTGGAGTAAAACTGAATAAATTGATTCCCCGTAGGTACAAAGAATTATTTATTTAATGCAATGGGTGATCTAGAGTCTAGACCAGGGGTGTCCAACCTTTCACCTTCCCTGGGCCACATTAGAAGATGAAAATTTGGTTTGGGCCGCACATAATTAAATTAAATAATTAATTAAATTAAATTAAATTAAATAATAAAATAAAATAAATAATAAAATAAAATAAATAAAATAAAATAAAATAAAATAAAATAAAATAAAATAAAATAAAATAAAATAATAAAATAAAATAAAATAAAATAAAATAAAATAAAATAAATAATAAAATAAAATAAAATTATTTATTATTTATTATTAATTATTTATTAAAAATTATTTATTTTTTATTTTATAATTTTCCGGCCAAATTTTGCGGGGTGGTTGTGGGGGGAAGCTCGCCTGCCTCACGCCTACCTCTCCTCCTGCAAATTATTTATTTTTTATTAATTTTCCGGCCAAATTTTGCGGGGTGGCGGGGAGGGGGGAAGAAAGCTCGCCCGCCTCACGCCTACCTCTCCTCCTGCAAATGCAGCAGCGGCGGCAGCTGTGGTGGGGGCAGAAGCAGCAGCGGCGGTGGCGGCGGGGGTAGAAGCAGCAGCGGCGGCAGCGGCAATGGGGGCAGAAGCAGCGGCGGCGGCGGGGGGCAGAAGCAGTGGCAGCGGCGGCGGGGGCAGAAGCAGCAGCGGTGGTGGCGGCAACAGCAGGAGGTGGCGGGGCGGGACTTTTGGGCTGCGGCTGCCCGCCTTTTCTGTTGCTCGCCTCGCC